GTTGGACGTTGCCGTCGTTGCGCGAAACTGGATAACGATGCTCGTTTACGACAAGATTTCTCGAAGTTTCGTTCCATGTTGCTTGCCTTACGACATTCGGAGGAAGAATACAGTGATGGCTCGAAAATTGCGTTCATTATTCAGGTAACCCTACATCGAATGTCCAGTTTTTTGTTATGGTGTTATAATTTGAGTGAATGGAATCCTTTTTATAACTCGGTGGGAAAACATGAAAGCTGTTGCTGCAAAGATAACAATAGTTTTGACTAAATATCCTCATCCGCTAGCATGTTGTGATTCATAAAAATGTAAATGCAGAACTTTAAAGAAAAACAGTAAATTTTTTTACAAAATAGCCTTGTATATGCCTGTGCTATTAGTTTCTTTTCTAGCCGAATTCTCTTCTTTTTCTGTATAAATTTCTATGCATATCCTAGCTTGCGTGCTGTGCAATGCAATGGAATGAAACTAGGAATTAAAGTAAAATTGTACTAGGAAAAGATAGCGAGTTTATTGACGAAGTTTCAATCAAAGAATCGACTTGATAGCGGGTTATGTAAATTTCTAGGTTTGATATGGAGTATATGTGTAAATTAAACCTTTATCAGAGCCTAATATAGCTTAGTTTTGTAAATAGCCGCAATTTTGAAGGTTGGAAGTTTATTAAGATAGAGTATTTTTGTTTAACGCCATCATTTTACTAATTTTGCAGGAGGCAGATTTAAGGTATCTTGTGGAAAATATCTGGAACGGCCAGAGCTGCTTGAGTGCATGGGAGGACTTGCATGATCTTGTTCTGGTGAGGTGGAACAAGCATGAGCACTGGGCCCCTTGGAACTGCATCCTGCTTACCAAAGAAGAGGCTGCCGCACACTCTAAATTGGAAAACGTAAACGAGGTAAAGTATTTATATACAGACCCTTATGAATAACAAATTTGACAACAGAGAACTTTTGTCTACCGCAACTGGCTTTCGTTTTCTTGGCAGTACAGGGATTTCTTTTTGTGCCTGAATGGATTTTTTTCTTTGCTTCAAGCATTGGTTTATTAACTGTGAATTTTTGATACATTACTTTGGTGCTTGTGTATATAAATCTATGCATTTTTGAATCTTCCAATTAGTACGTCTTTATGAAGCTATCATATAAAGATTGCTAGCTCATTGTTTGGGAGCTTCGAGTTTTAATGTACATTGAAAGAATATTTGATTTGTTTTTAAGCATTACTCTGTCTATTCATTGCCCCTAATGCCATCATTTTCACGCCGGTTTTCAGAGGAGAAATACTTTGATCTCTTGAAGTGTCTGTATGGGGACTTTTATAAGCTCAAATCATATAAAATAATCATAATACCGTTTTTCGCACTCCAATTATTAGACTATTCCCTGAAAATCTTTTTGACACGTTTTAAACTGTGGATGCAATTTAAAATTGTAAAATCATAGACAAACTTTAATTCCCAAACCTTTGTGATGAGAATTCCACGAATTGTCTTTCACACATCTTTTGATAGCGAGGTTAGGAACGAAGACGAGACGAGTGACGCTATAACACCCCTTTCTCTAGAGAAAGAAAGAGGGCTGAGATAGCAAAGGCTGTAATTTATTTTTAATAGCAACTAGCAGCACTTTGAGATTTCGACATCACGAATTTGTTTTCTAATTTCCCAAGGTTAGACTTTTTCAATTTTGAATAGAAATAGGCATTTTCAATGTAAACGCGATAAAATATTTGCACCGCACATCACTTGTCTCGGTTTCGTCTTACTATCCTCGTTGTCGACATAAAGAAAAGTTCAATCTGAAACAGGTCTGTTTTCTGAGTGCAGTTTTTTGAAATCTTGGCTTTGCTTTTCAGGGATATGGAAGGATTTTCATTGGAAAGGTTCACAACAGGCACGTGCTTGCACAGAAACATTTCTCTAAACTGACCGACGTCGCTGACAAAATGCAAACAAAGGGAACAGTTAAAGCCAGGCCGAAAGCCCAACAGCTTGCATCATAATACCGTATTTAATATTGTTTTTATTTGTTGTACAGAATGTATGAAATTCGTAGTTGATTAAGATGGTGTCAAATATAGCAAGAGTCCCTTGTTTAGAAACATACTTTGGAGAGTCGACCCTGTTCCCAGACCTAGAATAGATTACCTATTTCTGAAAATCCTTGTAAAATTTGGAAAATCCCAGAAATATAATGAATTGCAAGTAAAATTAATCGAAGTATGATACCAAATTTACTCTGCTTTTTAAGGCAGTCGCCAGAGTTGTGGCTTTTTTCACTACATTAAGTACGAAAACATCCCGTATTAATAATTTCGGTGGATTAATTTTTGGTGGAAAATATTTCGGTCATATTTTTCAGATTTCGGTGTAAATTTCGGCGAGTAAAGAAATGAAGCATTTTCTATAAGTAATTTCTATCTTCAACATAAAATTATCTGGAACGCATCATAAAAGTTATCAGAATTGAATATTTTGATGTCAGCCCAATAAATGGAATTGAAGAGTAGATAAGAATGTCATAAGCTTTTATTTAGAGGAGCTCTTTTTCATTTCATTTTTATAGTCCATGGAGCAAAATTAATTGGAAGCGTTTTAATGAGAACGTGGAGAATGAAAATCAAGGTCAACCAAGAAAAAATAGTAGAAAAGCAAATTTTCTACCAGAAAAGCAAATTATGCTATAATCATTGTTAAGAAGAAAGTTCAAATCTTTGTTACTAGATTCCTTCATTGCGGAAATTTTAGGAAAAAAGCATTTTAGCTTAATATGAGTGTTCCTCAAACTTTTTGCCTGAAAGTCTCTCATGTCTTGTTTGCTCAAAAAACCCATATTGATAAAAGGTCAAGTTGTTGATGAAATTAGAGCCTAGGAATTATTCTTAATCAATTTTAAAATTTCACCAATTTCGAGCATTTGGGGGAGGGGGGATATGATAGGGGGGAGGGGGATGGGGGAGGTGATTTGAACAATAGAAGATGGGGGTCCACGTTCTTTGGAATGCAAAAAATGCTCCTTTTCAAAGAGATTATTTGCCCCCTTAGAGGCATCGCTCCATTTTGCCTCCTCCTCAATATGTTACTAATATTATCTGCAAACAAATACTTAATCCACAGTGACTTAAGGTGTGACTTAATCCTGTGTTACCCCACCGTTAACAATAAGATGACTGGCACATACTGTTTCCTTTTATTGAGAGATTGGATTTATACCAGATCAATGCAGTTTCTCGAAATTCATAATGCTTAAGTTCATTCAAAAGGATTTCATGATTCACTGTGTCAAAAGCTTGTTGTAAATCAAGAAATTCTTCACAGGTTAAGGTGGAAGTGTACCGATCTGAAAAATTACCGATTCTTACAACTTTTTAGTTTTTCTTATATAACTCAGCACTTGATGCATTGATTACCTAAAAATGTTCAGGGATACTGAATCCTTTTTCTACCCCAAAATTTAAAAAATGTAGAACCGAAAACCGGGGATAATTTTTTACCATAAGCCTTCTTCGTGAAACTCTGCAGAAAATTGTGGCAAACCTCGAATTTAAACTTCACGTTGGTGACAAAGACAATTTAAAAAATATTGTTATGAAAGAAATGACTGTTTTAGGTTTTTGAAACATCAAACGTAAATCTGTCATGTGAATTGGGGGGGGGGGGGGGGGGGTCAGCAGAGCGAATGAATATAAAGTATGCAGTGGGTCATGGCACCACAAGGGTATGTGTTATGCTTTATGGAAACAGTTGAGGGGCAAATTACTTTAAAAACAAAAGTCAATATTTTTGGATTTTTTCAAGACTTTCTGCTCTATAGAAGGTATTTACAGATATTCCATAGTACATTGACTTGTGTTGATAATTGGATGGATAACATTTTTCAGAGATGGCCCCAAGAAATTGAGCCTTGGGAGCTAAGAATCAAGTTAACTGTCGTAGTGGGACCCACCATGGTTGGGTCCGACGCGGAAGAAAATTTTTGAAATTTTATCTTCTAGAAAGGCCTCCCCCAGACTAAATTTAATAAAAAACTAGAATCGCTCAGGATAGAAAGTTCGGCGTTTTTCAGAAGAACACAGATTATTGTTTATTGGGTGAAATTTTGGAGGGGAAGAATCATGCTTAAACCTTAGTGACAGACTTTGGGGAAATGTGAGACGCTGTTGTATTGATTGGTAGAAATTTACTTTCTGAACAGAAATGTGCGTCTTCCTTATTTTGAGTGCTTTCAGTAGGCCATGTTTACAGATCAAAAATGAATACATTTTAATGATACAAAAAGTGATTTACTGAATAAAAGCAAATAATAGACAAATAATAGAAATGCACGTAAATAAGTTAGTAAATAGGTCAAATAAAATGACAGATTGCTCTCTTTTTATTTTGTACTTTGTTTTCAAAAATAAAACGGTAAAAAACGGTAAGTTTTTATCTTGTAAAAATTATAAAAACCACTCTGCTTACAAAAATAACCTTATTGCCTGAGGTTTGTTGCAATAACACAGAAAAACGTAGTTTGGTTCTAACCCGGCTACCAGGGATTTCTTTCTTTCAAGGAAAATGATGGTAATTTCTCCAAAAAATCGTTTTGCTCCAGATTTTTTGGGGGGGTCCAGTCCCCCCCGTCCCCCCCGGGATTTACGGCCCTGGTGTGGGGAAACTGTTCTGAAGCTACATTTATTATGCTTGAGGATAACCATGCTAGGGCAGCGAGGCTAATACACAATCTACCTCGAAGCTTAAGTAATGAAGAGAGCCCTGCAGGAGCAAATTGGCAGCCAATCTCATTTTTGTATAAACGGAGGCTGCTCACATTAATGCACCAGATATACTTTGGATCAGCTGATCAATCAATTGCACAGATGTTTCAAAAGAAAGACCCGGAAAAACAAAGAACAAGAAATAAACTCCAGTTCGAAGTGAAAAGATATAATACAAAGACTGGGAGAAACAGTTTCACATACATAGCAACATCCCAGACCAAATTAAGGACGCAGAAAGTGTACAAACTTTCAAAACAAGACTAAAAAAGGCGCGTCAGACAATAAATAACTTCACTTTTCAAAAAGGATTAACTGGATTTTTAAACAAAGAGAATGATTTTAAATATTACTAGACTGCTAGTAAACAATTTTTAAATTTTTTTTATCTTTTACATGATGTAATAATTATTTCTTTTAGCCTTTAATTTATAGCAGGTCCACATCAGCTCTTTTGAGTTGCCAGACTTTCTAACCTGCTTAAAAAATAAAAAATGTATGTATGTATGTATGTATGTATGTATGTATGTATGTATGTATGTATGTATGTATGTATGTATGTATGTATGTATGTATGTATGTGTGTATGTATGTATGTATCTTTACCAAGGATAAATTTCCAAGCAATAAAAACAAATTTGAAACTTCATTGCCTATGAAATATCTGTTCCTCTACATGAGCGTAAATTATGATTATGGCATATGATTTTGGCTACATTATGTAGACGGCGCCACGAAATTGAGCGCGGGGGGAGGGGGGGGGGCTAAGAATCAAGCTTAATGAGGTAGGAGGACCCACCATGGTTGGCTCTGACGTTAAAGAAAATTTCTAAAAGGAGAGCTAAGAAGCATCTCCCAGACTAAAATTTAGCAAAATACTATACTGCTTGGGAAAGATAATTCGACGCTTCTCGAGAAAACTGATTATTGTTTAATGGGAAAAATTTAAAAAGTAACGGAAAATTGGTAAAAATATTCTTATCTTGACCAGCTCTCTAGCCTCCCAGTGGCGCTCTGTCTATCATGAAAATAATTTACAACTTAAATTAATTTGTGTGGACTCAACATTGTCCTCATAAACATATACATCAACCATCATTGCATCCATTGGCTATGACAGTTCAGTTAGAAATGCTTTCGTTTTGTTAATAACTGAGCTCTTCCAGACATACCTGTTCCGTTCGCTTAAAATGCAATGTCAGGAAGCTTCAGTGGTGGCGTTTCTGTGGCTGCGCTACAATAAAATTCTTCTTAACGCCCTATAAAATCTTCGATTGCCCTACGAAACCGACTATTTTTAGATTGAGGGGATATCACAACCCCCCCCACACACACACACACACACACCCTTGCGGGATTTTCGCGTGGAATGATGTTGCACGGTCTGTTACGAAGTTGCATCAGGCAGTCGGCAAGATCGCGTCCTGTTTTATCTGTCACGTGGCAAACTCAAAAGGAGATTTCACCATTTTGCATCATATAAACATCCGGGAAACTGCACCACAGTACGCCGAAAAACATAAATGGCGGGCTCTGCGCGGCCTTGAAGCATAATTTTCGCGGAAAAATGTAAACAGTCACGAAAAGGTACAAAGTTTTGTAAACTGAGAAAAAGTCCTTTTTTAATGTCATATGCATATGATTAGCTATGGAGACATTCAGCAGTCTGTTTGGTGCAACGGCGGAAAGCAGCATACCAACTGAACCTAAAGGCCCAATAATGAAAGCAGAAAGTACAAGTCTTCCTCCAGAGGTAAACTTCTTGATACTTAAAAATTGACACCCAATTGCTCATTTCAACAGTTATCTGTCAGGTTATATATATGTTTTGGAAAGCTGCAGAGTTTCACATGCATTGTAGAAAGTGTAAGTGATGATACAAACTTTTTACGACGAATGCAAACTCGATACAAACTCTTCTGTTCATTTGTTTGATCAAATCCTTGCACCGACCTACCAGCCTTTCTGTTATATAAATTATACTGTCTAGCTACTATTGTTTAAACGGAAGGTTCTCGGATATCACCAAAATCAGTTGATTTGTTTTAAAATTTACACATTTTCATTTCATCATCTTTTAGCTTTCCAGGCCTAGGCCTACTGATTTAAGTCTTTCAATGGTGCTGATCAAGTATGGATTCCATGCAGGGCCTAAAATAAGAAATTTTTACAGATCCACATTTTTTATAAAAATTGGGCGTGGTACTTTGCTGGGATTGGCATCATGGGGGTGGTAAATATAGAAACTGCCATCATAGTGCAAATAGTATGTCCTAATTGGGCATATTCTTAAATGAATGAAGTATAAGTAGGGCCATTCCATGTCAAAACAGCACATATTTTTCAAATTTGTAACCCACCACCTCAGATTTTGTTCATT